CAAAAGAGCAAAGCAAAGCACCAAAAAACAAAGAATCAAAAAGGCAAGACAGCAGCAAATCGAAGCACCAGTAAAGCAAAATCCCAGCAAAAGAGCAAACGTCAGAAAAGCAAAGCACCAGCACAAATAAAAGCGAAATTCCAGCAAAAGAACAAAGCAAATCGTTACCAGCGAAACGATGACACAAGAAAACTGAAAGCTTTCAACAACACGATATAAACACTATGAAAAAAAAAAAACTGATTAGTAAAATGAAGAACATAGGCAAAAAAAAAAAAAAAAAAAAGATACTTATCTAGACAACCAACAACACGATGCAACACCAGCAAGTCTTAGCAAAAGAGCAAAGCACTAAAACAGCGAAGCAGCAGCAAATTGAGCATCAGTAAAAGAAAAGTCTCAGCAAAAGAGCAAAGCAAAGCACCAAAAAACAAAGAATCAAAAAGGCAAGACAGCAGCAAATCGAAGCACCAGTAAAGCGAAGTCCCAGCAAAAGAGCAAACGTCAGAAAAGCAAAGCACCAGCACCAGTAAAAGCGAAATTCCAGCAAAAGAACAAAGCAAATCACCACTTAATGCCACCAGCGAAACGATGACACAAGAGAATTGAGAGCAACGACACGTCACCTGCAAAATGAACATAAACGACATGATATCGGTAAAACTCATGACGGCAATTACAATATTACAACACTATTACGGCACCTACGACGAAGACCAGCAAGAACGAAACGATGACAATTATGACACCAACGACGAGGCAACACTATAAAGAAAGAAAAAGAAAATGATTAATAAAAAAAAAAAGCATAAATACACATGATCGATCTGTATAACCGAAAATTTTTATGTTGATCTAAAGTGCCCGCGTGATCACGCGATCCCGATCTAGTCCAGAGATCGATAGATCACGTAATCCAGAAAATCTTACCTACATCCTGTATTCGTTGTATATAAAGAGATACAAACCAGTTAAGGTGATACAAACCCAAAATAAGTCCTTAATTCGACAATGAAATACCAACTCTGTTATGTGGTGAACCTAACTAGGCAGCAAGTTCCTGGCTTGATATATGAAGCTGTTAGGCTATCTGCACCAATTACTATTGCAGAATAAAATACCTTAGAAGGAAATTGCAATAGATTGTATATTGCAGATATATCAACTTGGAAACTCATTAGAAGCAGACACCCAATGTACTAAATTAGAAGTTATGACTGACCATGTGAGATATAGAAAGAAAATGATATTACAATAGTTAGTTGAAAAGTGTTAAGCTAGGTGAGACATATATAAGGCATGAACCACTCTAGTAGGTTTAGGTTGTAGTTAAATTAGTCTAAGTCTCTATAGTGCTATATTAGCATATATATAAGGATTATCTAAATATATGTTAATAAAAACCAGAAACATAACCTCACTTTAAATATTAAAAAAAAAAAACAATAATAAAAGCTATGGTAAAAAATGCTGATTAATAAAAAAAAATAATAATTAATTTAAAATTTTTTAAAACTTTCTAAAATTTTAAGATTATATATAATTTATTATACTGAACAAAATTTTATATAATAATCAAATTTAGTTTACTTAATAAAAATTAAGTTATTTTATGAAAAAATTAATCTAACTAAATTTGTATAATTATTATTTTTATATAAATATAACATTGCATAATTTTGTATAATATTAACTATTTCAACAACTATTGCATAGAATTATATAAATTTTTTATTTAAAAGCTTTAGATTTAAACAATTTTTTATATAATTTTAAACTTAATATCTTGCTTATTTAACTCAATATAAATTTTTAAAAAGTGTTCACAAAATATACTACCTCTATATTAATGATCTGATTTAAATTTAAAAATCTATTTACAGAATCTTTAGCTTTTTTATTTTTCTTTTTAGAATTTTATTAGTGATCAAAGATGAGAACAAAAGCTTCTTATAGATATAAAGTCAGTATCTACAATCTAATTAATGTATAAGTATTTCTTTAATTATTTCAACAATTATTTATTAAGTTTAACTTAATGCTATTAGCATATATTTTATATATTTATTTAAATTAATTTTAATTAATACAAAAAATTTAAAATAAATTATTCATTACTTATTCAATTTCTTTATTTTGATTAATTGAATTATTCAAAAATAAGCTAATACTGTTATGATCAAAGAAGAGATTTTGCATATACTGAGCTAATTTAGCTTAGGGTATAAGTATTAAAGAGATAACTAAGTATTTATTAAGTATATACAAGACACTAAAAGTAACCAAAACCCTTAACTATTTAACTATTTATTCCAAAGCCTAAAAAGTACTACCCAGAGTACTATCCAAAATCAAACTAAGAATCTACCAATTTTTCAAGAACTTTTTTCCCCTTTCTTTCTTATACTCCTTTCTTTTATGACTATTTAATTATTATAAATTCATATACTTGTACTAATTACTATATTATTTTATTTCTTTGCATAATGTATTATTTAATGTCTCCATAATTATGTGCTTGTACTAATTACTACATCATTATATTTCTTTGTATAACAATATTCATTTGTTTATATTTAATTTTTTATATATTGATTTAATCAATACTTCAATTATTTATTTAAAAATAAGCTAACACTAATGTATATTAATGATACCAAAAGAAAACCAGCTTTTATTTATATAAAATTTATATAATCGATGTTCAGATTTCTTATTTAATTTATTCTTATTACGTTGCTATAGATTAAAATAGTCAGTAAGTGCAATTTGTAATAATACTTTATTCATTAACATCGATTTACTTATGATCTATTCATTTATTATTTAATTTTTTTATTTATATTTATTCAGACTGTAAGTTAATAGTTATTTATTAAATATTATAACAATTTATAATTAAAATATTTAAAATAAACTAACTATTTTTTAATAAATTTGTATTAAATTAGTATATTATTAAGCATTAGACTACACTAAGTTAATTTTATATTTTGTATTATATGGCATTCAAAATTTTGGTTAGATGGTTAAATCTTTTATTAATCTAAACTAATAAAATAATTTTAATGAAGCCAAAGTCTTTTAATTTCTAAGTTTAAAAGGTTATTTAACTTGTTCAGATATTATATCCATAGTTTCAAATTCTTTAATTAAATTTCAAATCAGTTAAATCATAAGGCATTATAAAACTATGTTGAGTTTAAACCTATTATTAACTTACTGAATATTAGAATAACTTGTACTAAACCATTATCTATTTTAAATTTTAAAAATTAGTAAATATGTTTTTATATTATTATTAACACATATTATTCACCGATCGAAAACAAATCATAAGACTGAAATAATTTATGATAATAAGACCTAAAGCAATGTAATAAACTACTAATAATAATTATATATTTTATCAATGATGATAATAATTATTATTATTAATTATATTAAAATTTAATAATTATATTGATTTTTACATTTATATTAATATTTATAAAACAATTCTTTTATTATTATTATATTTGAATCAACTTTTATCACTTTTATTACATAATTTTTTCAACTATTATGAATTTGCAAGAATATAACTTTATGACTTATGAAATTTTTAACTAAATATTAGAGATATTTATTTAAAAAAGGAAAAACAAGTGAAGCTTGATAGATAAAAGTTGGTATGATGAATATTTAAATATATTAAAAAATCTAAACCTTCAGTATAAGCAAATTTCAAATATTGGTAGTTAATATTTTTAAAGTTTATCATATTAGTGCAATAGAAAAACTGCATCTGCTTAAACAAAATAAGAATAAGTTGAAAACACAAGTTTGTTATATCAAAAATTTTTATAAAGTAATTTGTGCTGCCACTAAGCAACTAAGTATAGTAGCTATAAAAAAGTTAAATTTATATTTGTTTTTTTAAAATAAAAATAACAACAATAACAATCTTCTTATTAAATTCAGATTAGATACTGCTATATTTTTTAGTAGTTAGTTAAAAATAAGATTAATAAATATGAAGTGTATATTACTTAACATATTTTTAAAAAAGTTTGGATCTTCTTTAGTATAGGTGGTATATATAAATTATTACAAAATTATAATATATTAAATCTAAATAATTTGAGCTAATTTAAACTTTAACCTTAACCCTGACCCTAATAATTTATAAAATTACTTAAATTAGTTCAAAATAATTAAGTTATATATATTATATTATATAATAATTATATATACCCACCTATACTAAAGATTAACCAAAAGGTTCACCAATGCACCTTATTGTTTGTAAAGATTTTTAAATCACATTCAAGTATGTGTTATATTAACTTTAATAAATAAATTTATATTAAACCAAATTTAAAGTGCATAGTTCGATATTATCAGCTCTTTTAAATGTTAAAAGAAACTGTGAATTTATTTAAAACAAAATAGAATAAAGCATAAAACAAAATGAAATTGAATATATAAACCTGGTAATTTAGTAAAAATTCACATTTTAACTATTAAAAATTAAGATAAATCAAAGATACCTACTATGCAAGGTTTTTTAAAAGATTTAATCATGATTTTTATCAAGTCACCTACAAATTTAGGGTTTCTAACAATTAGCACTTATTAAATTAATTTGAACTACTAGGTACCTCTTATTACCCTAGTCTCAACGTAAATAATATACTTTTATTAAGAGAGCCAGATGTTAGACAAACTTTATAGGTCTTATTTATAATAATAGAAGATCAACTAATAATAATCACAAACATCCAATCTATAATTTTAAGATGGCCAAGCTCATAGTATTAGTAAATATTGTCAAATATGTTTCTTGAGTAAGTAAAAAATTAAAATAAAATAAAAACATCTATACTATATTATAAAAAAAATTTTGTGCAATATTTAACTGCAAAGTAACATTTAGATTATACTATATAAATTATTTATAATCATTTAACAAATAAAATAAGCCAGGCTAAGTTAGGTTCAAGTAAATCCAAGCTAGGTTCAAATAAACTCAAGCTGGATTCAAATGAATCTAAATAAAGTTTAAGTAAATCTAAGCTTCTATGTATTACATGAGTTTTCAGCTAGGACCCGAGCAATTTATATAGGATAAGAGTTTAAAAAATTACTAAAAATAGAAGAATCTGCATAAAAATAGTAAAAAAAGCATATGTTTTACTAAAATAGAAAAGATTTGCAAAAAAAGCCTAAAATAAGCAAATTATATTCTTACCCCTACATAGATTACTCTGTGAGATATTCTATATAATAGGTGGGCAATATAAAAAATAAGCTTTACTAATGATTAGTAATTATTAATTTTTTAATAGCAGAGTTGCAAAGTTTGCAGAGTTTGCCTACCTATTCTATAGAACATCTACCTTGAGTTCTTTTCAGCTAGTAATAATAATAATAATATTATTATTATTAAGGAACTAGTAATCGTACTACAAATTTAGTATTTAATCTCCTACAGAAATTAAAAAATCTTAAAACTTTAAATGAAGACATCTCAACAAATACCTAACTAAATTTGATGTTTTTTTATTTGAATTTTAGAGATTTGTAGAATTCAAATAAAAAAAAATTTATTAAATTTGGTCAGGTGT